GGTTTGGTAACTCAAATGTTCCACCAAGTTTGTGTTGTCTCGTATTGTCTCCCTTTGCGAGGCAGACTTTCTTTTGTCTTTTTTCACATGCGCCAGCTGCGAATGTTGATACAGGTGATACAGGAGGTGAGTACCACTCCTGAAATCTTTTGAAAAGTTAAGTTTTGTTTCAGTTTGATCGTGCAACAACAATATCCAACACAAACAGCTGACCTGCAGCGTAATACAATGTGCGGCACAATTGCACTTGTGCATAGGAATATTTAAGTTCTGCAATTTAAAAAAATGTAGAGCCAAAGGTAAGGGCTGTCTGACAGCATTGTAAAGCAGTAAAAATATTCTCAATATAGCACTACCAACAAGTCCATTATGTCTTACAAAATCTCAATAAATCTAAAAACCAGGCTTGGACAGTATTTACCTCAGGGACAAAGAGATACCTGCCGGGGTTTCAAAACACAGGATCTAGATTTGAAAGGTCCCCTTTTTTTACAAATCTTTATTTGGACAGATGTCTGTGACCCACAGAACTTAAAAATTGATATGAGTGGGACCATTTTGAACTGAAACTGATTTAAAGAGGGATCAGTGATGTGTGATCTGGTGCTTGTTGTGAGTTCTTTGGTGTTATAATGCATGATTGTTTGTAGTGTTTGGTGTTGTATGTATTTTATTGTTGAGTTTTTGTGTATCTTGCCCACTGAGGCATTTGTAATGAGCCCAGGCAATACATGCTGTGGTATTTAGCATTGGTTAATGCTATATTCCTGTCCTTGTTACAAAAGACAAATGTAAGTGCCATGATGGTGACAAAAACTGGATGGCCATGTACTTTTAGTTTGCAATGGACAACAAAGACACACTAGGCTTTGTCAAGGAGGAAGATAGGAGGAGATATGCCGTGAATACACAAACAGTAAACATACAACTTTGGAAAGTGAGAAGAAACAAGAGAAATACATTAAAAAAAGATTGGGAAGGTTGAAGAGAATGAAGTAAGGACACAATATGGAAATGAGTATTCCAAGAACAGTATTAGCAGACATCTGGTAGAAACATTACTGTAACTAGCAGCCTTTGGAAAGCCTAAGGTGCTCTCTTAGGTTTTCCTTCCCAGTTCTTCCTTCTCTTCCTTTTATTACTGACTCTGTCACTCTTTCTTCTCACCTTGCTTCCTCTTCCTTTTCTCCCTTTTCTCCTTAGTCTTTACCAGCTTTTCCCCTTTTTGTCCCTCATCTCCATTTGCTAAATGCAGTTTCACGTGGCTGAGGACACACTGTTAGCAGGACGATTCAACGAGGGTGGGCAATGCTGTAAGGAGTCTATATTTCCATTATTCAAATCTGTAATAAGAAATGCAAGAATGACTGTTATTGAAGTTTTATGCCTGTTTTATGAGAAAAGGGATCCAAGACACCAAAGAAAAACTGAGGGGAATAATGAATAAAAATATGCTAAATACCAAATGGTTCTAGTGACACAAATTTATCAATTTTGTGTTTTTAATATCCTGGCACCAGTTTCTCCAAGCAACAATTAGTGCAGTCGTTACCAAAGTTCAGCTGCTACAGAGATATGTAGATTTTCACTACTGCCTGCAAATCCCTCAACCCAACCAGGTTACTTGGCTCAGCTAATCAATAAACACCTGCTTGTTACCATGCAGAAGGAGTAGTTGAATTAAGAAGAAGAAAAACACTGTTTTAACTGCAAATACTGGTAATAATAAGACTGGTGTTTCCATCAGTGGTCTGAGTGGCAAACTTGCTGCACACTTTGGGCCCTATTTAGATGGTCTAAAACGCAAAGCGCCAGGCGTGCGGCGCATGGGTGTGTCCCAGTCACTTGCTAGTTAGACAGCGTGTTTTTAGACTGTGCGCCATGGCGGAGTCTAAAAGGGTTGGACTTACTCTGTGAATTAGTCATGGGTGTGTTTTGGACGTATCATTCCATAAGCCAATCAGAGTGTCACCTCTCATTCCCTTTAAAACAGGCGCGATTGGAGTGCATGGCGGAGAGCTAGTTAGATGGCGGACCTACCAACTGGAAAGAGTGAGCGTTTTACAGCTGAGACAGATCTCCTCGTGCGGGAGGTTAAGGCCCGTCAGAACCAGATCTACGGGGACAGCAGACAGGCACCCAAGCTCCCCAAGGTAAAGCAGGCGTGGGATCACTAATACAAGAAAGATCTTACTAAATATCTGTGGAATATTATTCAAACCTGTTTTCATCATATAACAGAGCACAGCTGTCAGGACTGCCGCGGAGCTCCCCAAGGTGCTGATCCTGCAGCTAGGACCTGTTCAGCGTTTTCTCCCCCACCCACGTTTGTTAATTGTTTTCACATGTTTCCTAGAGCTGTGTTCTGCCTCTTATTTGCATGTGTGTCCTAGATAACAATATAATAATATAATATAATGTAGCCTAGTGTATAATGTAGCCTAGTATAACATGTTAAAATAAATGCAATGTGTGGGCTTTGGTTTTCAATCAAAAAAATGATTGATTGGTTAGATAATTTCACAATTTCATTTGTCATTATTACAAATTATGATGATCATTATTACTTGGATTAGATCATTCTGATTAATGACTGACCATTAAGACGTGTTTCTGATAAATATTTTAATGTGCACAATAATAACCTTTCACATTGTAATCATATTTTTATTTGTTATCTTTTGCATATGTGTGCCTGCTCCATGTGTGTCTGAGCAGAGTGTACGCACGTTGTGCACCCGCCTAGAGATGCATATTACTAACTTTTTTAACAGTGAAATACTGCACTGTTGACTTTAGACCAGGTTTTTGTTGGTCACTGGCGCATTTGCTTTTTACGTCATCTAACTAGCAAAGCGCCATGACTGCACCTGACCACTCCTCATTTTTAGACCAACACACCCAGAGAAGCACAAGTTCATTTGCTAGTTAGACGACGAGGTCGCAGGGCGTGAAAATGACAACTGCGCCTGCATCTAAATAGCAATGACACTTGCGACATGGATTATGTGCCCTCCGCCGTCCACTTTAGACCATCTAAATAGGGCCCTTTATCTTTTAACAGACTCTCAGTGAGTAATGAAAAAAAATCTGCCTGAAAGAGCGAGTCCAAAAGTCTGTTGGTAAAACTGCATCAACAGTGAACAGCTGGCAGAGGTTAGCAGGCATAGATGATAACAAAAATATCATCGCACAAATGGACAAAGGGCATGCAACAAACCTAGAGCCAGTGAAAATCTGCCAGGTGGATTTCAGCTGAGACATGAGCAGGGAGATCCAAGTGCTGGTAGGTCATTTACATACACTCAGTGGCACCATATAGGGGAGAAAAGTTAGGACGATTCCAAGGGCCCCTGACTGACAGGAGCCCCAAAAACAGGTAGAAACTAATATAAAATTACTAAACCATTATCATTAAGAATTTTTTTTTCAAGTATAGTAATACAATTAATGATCTCTTTTGTTTTTGTTTTTTTTGTTTTGGTCCTGCCTTAGCGCACTGACGGTGATGGTGCCTACTAGCAGTCAGCAGTTGCGCTAGAACGCTACAGTCATCATCATGCTACCTAGTACTAAAAGAAAATCCGGTTTTCAAAAAAGGAAAGAGAAAAGGAGAGAGAGGAGAGGCAAAATAAAGGGTGTCAATATGTGAGCCAGTTTTTCTATAAGAAAGGTGGGTAGCCTATAGTCTGTGAGTGGTAGAAATGAACCTGTTAGCTTAATGTCCATAGTGAAATAAGCTAGCTACAGACTAGTGTTAGCCTACATTTCATTCCTTTTTAACCTACATTTAATCAGTGCAGGTAAATGTTTAGCAAGATATTCATATCAAATCAGTTGTCCCTGCTCCTTTTACCAGACTCGACAACAGATGAGTCAGAAGCAGCAGCCCTGTCTCCCCATAACTTTACCCCTCCCCGTCCCAATGAAGAAGGTGAGCAACATTGTGTTGAATGACATGCCAGTTAGCATCATTGCAGGGAGTCTGTGGCAATTTGTCTCTCTCTCTTGCTCTTTCTTACTATTACAAAAAAAAGGAAATATTTTTTAATGACAGAAATTCAAACAAATTATTTTGCCACATAATGAATATTATGAAAGAAAAACAGCCGACAACTCTCTGTATGGATGCTGGACAGTTGGAAACATTAAGTAGCCTAACTCAGCCTGTATTAAAGTTACAGGCAATATTAAAATAATCCAGTTAGATGCTTTCATTTAGATTGAATTATGGCCGTTACATGACATGTATAGATACAGAAAAAACAAAAACATGTATCTAATGTATGTAATCTAGTGGTGGTGATACAGAACTGTAGGTAATTTGGGCCAATGTAAATCTGTAGGATTTAGTGTCGTTCATTTATTGGTATCAAAAATCTGCTGTTTTTATTATTTTGAGATGATGATCTTAATTTATTTTGATTGAAAAGTTAATGTATATTTAAGTTAATTGTTTTAAGTCTTTCATTAATGTTAAGAGAATTTTCCATTTTGGGATTTTACAATAAAAATTACATTTAGACTGTAAAAGATGGCCTTTAGCACATTTTTTATGGCGGCTTTTAATCTTGCATCAAATAGTGAACTGCATACTGTATGCAGGCTGTTGCATGTACAACTCACTAGCAGTAAATATTGTACTGGTAGTATTGAACTACAAGAAGCAAGACAGTTGCAAGCCTTCAAAGTTAGAGTTATGTAAAGCTTTAAATGGGTCAGTTAGGTCCTAGAGATGTGGTGACAACAGCTGCGCAGGGAAGGCCCAATGGGATTTTTTTTTTTCATGGGCCCAAAATTCCTGGCGGCACCCCTGCATACATTACCCACATTGTTAGAATATGAAGCTGGTTGAATATTGGTAAAGTTTCCCTTAAGTGGTTGCCCAAAACATTAACCATATCATGGTCTTCATCACAAATAAAATGCTCTTTTTCTGCATTCATGTTTTCGGGTAGGAAAAGTTGAAAATCTATAACAGTGGTTTTGGGGTTCATCACCTTGAGCCACTCCTCAGCCTGTTCTTTGCTCTGCACAGCCAGCACCAGCGCATCCGCCCCCTGATGAACAATCTTCAGCTCGTGCTTCTTCTTCTTGCCATCTTTAGGGATATGTGTGATGCTGCACCCTGACAGGGTCAGCTCCATCTGGGGGGTGTGGTCTTTGGAGGACTTGTAACACTGGTGGGAGAGAAAAGGGGCACAGTTAACCCCAATGAACCAAACATGATGTTGCTGTAATGTTTTCTGAGAAGTTTTATGTCACCATATATGCACAAGTATGTAACTGGATCATCTGTGGGAACCCTTTAAAGGAATACGCCGACGATTTGGGAGTTATGCCCTTTCTCTATCATTTTCATATTGAGACAACATGATCGATATCTTTTTTGTGTCTGTATGTCCAGTGGCTGGGTCTCAGCGGTTAGCATTGCGGCTTAGCTTAGCAAATACAATTGAAGTCTATAGGGGGTCAGTAGCCTACTTGTAAAAGTGAACAAATAAATGTTACAGAAACCCTGAAGCTGGTATTTCTACACGTGCAGTTAAAATAAACATGTTTAAACATTAATTCGAAAAATGGGAGTCCTTTTTAGTCATTTTAGAAGAAGTTTGATACACGGAACTATAGTGTGTTTATGCCCTGCGTGGAGGGATACACCAGTGAGCAACAGCTGCAGCTGGGTCTGAGACAGGTATGCTAGGTCACTCGGTAAAAGCAAACAAAGAGACGACACGGACGATCATAAAGCGATATTACTCACTCGACTGAAAGCTGTCCATCAGCTCCTGCAGGCCTGTGGCGTTTTTTCCAATTTATCTTAGGAACATGAAAAAATGTTTCAATCACGCCAGGATTAGTGATTGCTGCAAAGTTTTCACTCCTTGTGATGCGCTCTCTGCTGCGGTTTTCCTCCTGATGATATATCTCTAGCCTTCCCAACGATGGTAGCACCAAATCCCATACTGTGCAGCAAAATGATTCCACCTCCGTAGGCATAGGTTGGCAAGCCCCGCAGCTATACCACCAATCCTCCCCTGACCTCCGTCTCCCCTTGGCCCCTTGCTGTTCTGCTGCCTCGGAGGATTCAGCCTCTCTTCTCGCCTGCTCAGCATCCAACACCTGGAGTTCCTCATCTGTATACTCCGGCTCAAACAGGTATGGCTCTGGATCTGTTTCCGCTACAAGAAACTCTTCAAAATCACGTTCAAAGTCGTCCATTGCAGCTACTATAGTCCGGAGATATCGTTAGGCTAAAAAAACAACTGAGTTTTGTTTTGCCTGCTCACCGGTGTATCCCTCCGCGGATCACAGCACAGGACGTAAACACACTACAGTTCCGTGTATCAAACTTATTCTATAACGACTAAAAAGGACTCTAGTTTTTCAAATTAATGTTTATTTTAAATGCACGTGCAGAAATGCCAGCTTCAGGGTTTCTGTAACGTTTATTTGGTCACTTTTACGAGTAGGCTACTGACCCCCTATAGACTTCAATTGTATTCACAAAGCTAAGCCGCAATGCTAACCGCTGAGACCCAGCCACTGGACATACAGACACAAAAAAAGATATCAATCATGTTGTCTCAATATGAAAATGATAGAGAAAGGGCATAACTCCCAAATCGTTGGCATATTCCTTTGAGTGGTGCCTGGCTGTGCTAACATGTAAAACAGTGTCCCTCACCAGCAGTTTGTTATCTTTGATGACACAGAGGAGTTTGGTCCACTGGCCAAAGCGCTTTTTGCGCAGCAAGAACGCACAGATCCGAGCGTCCTTCACCAAATCCATGGACGCCTCTGCAGATGGCCACTGGTGATGCATCTTTTGGCCCTTTCCATCCTCCTCTTCCTCATCGTATGACTCATAGGAGCTGCTCATGGCATCCGAGTCATAGTCTGAGAGGGAGATGCAGAAGGCAGAAGGATACAGAATATTGTTTTTCATATGCTGCCTTTTCATTTCCATCATATTATTCCAAGTAAACAAAAAAACTTGCCAAAAAACTATAAATTCAATATTTTTCACAGCATGTTCATTAACTACTGTCTGTATGTATGGCTGTGAGTAAGGGCATAATATCAGTAACTGTAAAAAAGTCTGTCACTCACTGGCAGTGATGTATTCAGGAGTCTTTCCAGGACTTAAAGGAACCGCTTCCTCATAGTAGCCTTCTGGTAGAGAGGAGCTGGGCAGAGGAGGAGGGCCATTGTTTGGAGGCTGCAGAGAGAACAGAAGCTTTCAGTGATTAATGAGTCTTGATTGTGGATGGTTAGGGACTCCATTTCTTCTCTGTTGAGGAAGTTAGTGGATCTGTACAACAGCAGTCCACAAAAAAAAAAAAAAAAAAAGGAAGAGACACTAGGACAAGGGGACCAACAGCAGCTGGCTATAGAAGTAAGCTGTAACATAGTTCTGTTTACAAGACACTCATTTAGATGCATTTACTTATTTTATTATATAATATGTAAAGATTTGTAAAATTACCTTCTATGTTTCATTGTAGGGTGGCTGGCTAAGTACATAGCCGACTGTTTTCTTTTTTGGATAATTTTAATCATTTTATTTTGCTTATTTAAATGTCTGCATCTGAAAAATGAGTGAGAGCTGCTGCTCAGCAGGCAGAGCAACAGCAGAGAGGCAGCTCAGCATGGGGGAAAGGGTGTGTAGAGCCAGCATATTAGCAATCATGAAACAGTAGTTCCAGCCCTTGATAATGATTGGCTGAGGAATACTCTACAAACACACAGCTGTGACCACATTACAACAGTATTACTGCGGCAATTAGTCACTGAACATTTCTGCTCGGTGTCTCCATGGTAAGTGAAGCAACTGCAGAAGCAATGATTTAAAGTTTATGGCTTTCAGTAACGTCACTGAAAACATTGGGCAAAATATGAGATATTCTTGACCTGCTTTGTTTAAACTGAGTAAAACTTGCAAGACTGTTTATGGAGATAGATTTGTCTAAAAATATTTGTGTGAACAGACAGATAATCCCTGTGTAAACGTGTAATCTGTAAATATAAAACACCTTCCACAAATACAAAAAAGATTTTTTTAACTCGTAAATAATTTTGCAAATATAAAATGGATCTGCAAATGCACAAATTTAACATAAAAAAATCTGGGAATGCATTAAATTAATTTACAAATGCAGTGAGTATCTTCCTATTTTGGAGAGTGGGATTCCAGATTTATTTGTGTGCCAAAAAGGAAATTGTGGATCTCAATTCTACGCTTGTGGATTTGCATTTTACACACACAGAGACAAACTTTCTACGAGTCCACTTATATCACTTAGCCATTTTCATAGAGCATGTGATCTGCTGACAACGTAATTTTCACATTTCAAAGTAAGAACACAGTCTTTCTAATATTAGAAAGACGTTCACATGCTTTTTATTTATTTGTAAATTAATTAAATGTATTCCGTTTTAGTTATTTGTGGAATTTGTTTACGTATTTGCAGATCTGTTTTAAATTTGTAAAATGGTTTTGTGAGTTATATTTTGTTTTTAGCCTATATATATTTGTGGAAGGTGTTTTACAGATTACACATTTACACACAGACTGTCAATATGTTCAGACAAATAATACTGAGACAAATCTAACTCCATACTTTTCTTTGTTCAGGCTGTACATTGCCCAAAGGGTTGCAGTCCATAACGGTCCCAAGCACATCAATATTAGAAGAAAAATATAGCCGCAAACAACATATTTGGTGTATAACCAATACAGTTATTGTTGTATCCATGTATAATGAAAAATCATTACCCAAATCCTCTGACTGAATATACCTCTTAATCTGTTGGCCTGTACCCTGATTTATCTTTATTTTTCAATGTTTATGTAGGCTTCCATATGTAATACCCTTGTTTAAGACTGTGTATTTGTGTTTGAATTGTGTAGTACTAATATTTTAATTTCTGATATATGCATTTATAAAGAATGTTTCCCTTAAAATTTGAAAAGCCAAAAGGAAAAAAACAATTCACAGCCTTTTGCTTTCTAAGGGTGTTTTACTTTGTGGTGGTTGAAAAATTTTGTAAAACGGATGTAAAAAAAGAATGACTTGTAGTGGTTGACATGTTGGTTCTGATTTACCCACTGCAATAAAGGCTTTTTAATACTTCCTCCCTCGTTTTCTATATTTTTAGAGTGTCTAGATTGCCTTTGTGTGTACCCTATTGTTTCCTGTTCTCCATGAGCACCCGACATTTGATTATACAGAGCAACCAGCCATCTCTGTATTTTTCTAAAAAAAATATATATACAAATATATATATATATATATATATATATATATTGGTTTGTCATATTGGCAGAAATCCGCATGTTGGCCGACTCGATACTTCATTTTTAAAGCCAATATCGTCCAGTACCGATGTGCCGATATTACCATGCATCTCTACTAAATTTGTTCCTGACATTTATTCAGCGATTTCTCCACTGTAGGACCAGATGAACAGTAAGAAGAGACAATGTGTACCTGCATGTATTTATGTTTATTTATGTGAATGGGGACTGCCAAATTTATCTACCATTACAGCCTTGGCAGTTTAGCCACATTAAAAAGCGAGCATTTCAGGAACACAGGGTTCCCACACACTTTCGTGGACAAAATTTCAAAACTCTTCCATGACGTTTTTGAAGTACTCTAAAGAAATTTTTTATTTCAGAAACGCATGCACTTTACTGTGTCTGCTGCATTTCTCTACACACATGCAGGAGGGTCTCGCTTCCCATAGCAAACATTGTCAGGTTTCCATTTGTATCAAGATTACTTTAACAATTAATTTCACTACAAATAATGTCACAGTGGCCTTGACCTTTGACCTGTGACCACCAAAACTATCAATCACTGTTGTTCATTGTCCAAGTGGACACTTGTGCCAAATTTGAAGAAATTCCCCCGAGGCGTTCTTGAGATATCATATTCACAAGGATGGGATGGACAGATGAACAACCCAAAAACATAATGCCTCCAGCCACAGCTATCATCAGCACAGAGGCATAAAGACATTGCTGAGTAAAGATAATTATTTAATTTTTCAGAAATTGGTTATGGGTCCATATAGAACCATCACTAGGTTCAAATCTGAACCACAGGCTGCCATTTGGTGATGCCTGATTTAAGGCTTTCTTTTACTGTCGTTTTGTTACTTTTGTTTACTGTACCTAATGCAAAACTGAGTTTCTTATTCCTCTTTTTCTTGTCCCAGTCTATACATTAATGCTCCTCTTCATCCTGCCTGTTTCCCTATTTTCATCGATAAGTAAAGTGGCCAGGCCCCAGGCAGACACCTTATCACATCCTTTGTCACTTCTTTGGGGGAAATCAGCGATTCACTGAACTCATTTCTTGGCGGGGATATGCTGCTCTATTGAGCTCCTACAACACCACCGTTCTCCTCCCCACCCCAGCCCTGAAGAGAAAAAACATGAGGAAGACAGAAGGAAAGGAAGGCAAAGAAGTGAAAACAATGAAAGCTGCAGACTCACAGAAACAGTAAGGCACAAAATCAGGTTTGAGAAGTGGATGTGAAAGTAGACTTGTTTGTGTTGGTGATGGTGTATTGTTGACACGAGATCTGCGGCTTCATATCTCACATCACAACGATTTCCTTTCCGAGAATTTTAAGCAACAGTAACATTAATAATCATGCAGACGCAGGGTGTCTGGATAAGCATTTTTCCCTTCATGCAGCAGAATACATTCCATACACTTCAGAGAATGTGATCCCATTTTTCTGCTATTTAATGACTCAAAGCTTAGAGGCACTGGGGTGAGGAGACTGTGTTTGCATCCACACCTATATACAGACACACAATAAACACACAATCTGCCTTGTCTCTTTGCTTTCATTTCCTACAACAACAGCTTGACCCAATCACACAAGTAAACTGCAGATTAATTACACTGCAACTCACTGAAACTAACAGGAGTTCACTGCAGTCACAAAGTATACTGCCCCTCTGATCACCATAAACACACACTGTGCAAAGGCCAACATACAAAGGTCAGTGTGCCCCTGCAGTCTCTGATCAGCTTCAAATACTCCAAAAATCTCCAAAACATCTGTTCACTATCTTCATGAAGCAGTATCCTATCCAGTACAGATCTGGATATGGAAATCCCAATAACTCTTGAAGAAAGGTGAGGGCACCATGATCAGAAAATCCAATAATTCCACTGTTGATGAAAGAAAAGTGGGAAATAAATCTGCTGGAGTTGATCCTCTGATGTTCATGAGCTCTGGGTGCTGTAGCAAAACACTGAAAAGTGTTTCCCACAGAATTAGAGTCTATACGTTGGGGTAGCTGCCGAAAAGGGCGGATGAGGTAGTATTATGGTATTATGACATACAATACTACTTTTTTCATTTTCTTTTAAATGCGTGTCCCCTCTCTAAATTTGGACATGTTTGCTGGTCCTTGAATGCAGAGTTGTTTTTTCCACAGCCGCACTTTGTGAGTTGTGGGGTGGATAACTGATTTGTTGATTCGTTCAGAGCTGATCTGATCAAATCAGATCAATGGAGCAGCTGCTACAGAGGTGAGTTAGACCCAGTTTAGACCCCGCAGAATAAACAGCTTAGTTTCACTTTCAATATGACTGACGTTCTGCTGATCCTTCTGTGCCAAGTGCCCACTCTGTGCTAAAACAGTGTGTTGCTATAAATAACCGAATGGTACATGTATTTCAACCGTGTTCCTGATAGACGGTCCACCTCCAAAAACAGAAAATCTATTTGTGGCAGCAGATGTTTTGATCGTGGCGAGCCACAACACAGGCGGATGTTTTGATCATTGTGGGCCGCCACAAACAAATGCATGTGTGAGAAACCCTGCTGAATTAACAAACAAAAAAAGACAAAACACAGCACACCAACGCACGAAGGTGACCATCTGCGGTGACATCTTGCAAATAGATCTTGGCAATCTAGTTGCTTTGTAAGATAATATGCTTGCACTCAATTTACGTCCTGTCTCGTGTTTGGTGTGAAACCACAGAAGGATGACACACAGGGTTTCCAACACATGAATTTATTTGTGGCGGCCGGACACAATTAAAACATCTGCCACCACAAATAGATTTTCTATTTTTGGAGCTGGACCGTTCATTAGGACTCCTACTGGAATATAATGTATACATTCAGTTACTTATAGCACCACACACTCAGAGCGCAGAGTGCACGTGGGGCAGAGACACAGCA